TAGGGGTCATCAAATGAAATTAATAGGCAGCAGGTTTCTTCACACACCTCACAGCCAGTTTGAGGAATTCCTTGCCAAAGGATGTTGTGAAGGCCAAGACTATAATAGGGTTCAAAAGGAACAAGAACTATCCTCCATGAACTTGTCTATCAGTGGCTATTACCCAGGATTGGCAGGGATGGCGTCCCTAGCCTCTGTTTGCCAGAAGTTAGGAATGGGCGACAGGAAATGGATCACTTGATCATTACGTGTTCTATTCATTCCCTCTGGGACACCTGGCATTGGCCACTGTCGGAAGACAGGATACGGAGCTAGATGGACCTTTGGTCCGACCCAGAATGGCCATTCTTATGTTTACTAACCCTTCCCCTTTGATAGAATCCTGATGTAATACATAAAGCCATACAATACAAATATAAAGTGTTCTGCATAAACCACCACCATCTCTTTCATGGTCCCAGACGGATAATCCAAATGAAGTGACATTTTAGCTTTTCTGACCTCTCCCCCTCCTTAGGTTGGGTATAATAATTACTGTCTCTCGCAATTAAGGAAAATTATTTTACCTGTAAGATGCCTATGACAGCTTTAAAGTACCCAACATGGAAACACGGCAGCTCCAAGTCAATGTAGCCATAATGCCCTAAACAGTCAGCTAGATTCTTCCCACAGGTTTCACATGGACGGTCCTTTTCACTGGTACCCTTTGAAAAGGACACAAAAACATTATAGCAACCATTACCAAATTGTGGGAAACAAAAGAAGCTACCACAGCTGCTCTTAAATTAGTCAGCATGCCTGTGGACAGTACTCTGTACACTCACATGAAAGACTTCTAGATTATTTCAACTCTGAACACTTGCTCTCAGTCAGTAAGAGCTGGTAACACACTGAAAGCATCATACTCAAAACCCAATCCCCATAGAAACAGAGCATCTTGCATTGCTCCTGCTGATGCAAGTGCTGTTAATTCATTCAGCCCTATTCACCTGGAAAGACTACTATAGTGACGTGGTACTAACTGTATGTCCACACTACAGCTAATGTGATTTGCAGCTTGTGTAGCTGTACCCACACTGGCTTTAATGTAGTTAGCTCCCTAACGGCAGAGTGAGGACACACCAGCATGGGTTTCAATGCAGCTTGCACAACCCCACCTGATCCCCCTGAGTACATACTTGCAGTGACAGCACATGCTGAAACCCATGCTGCTGTCTACACAAGCAACAAATCACGCCCCCGCCCCCAGATACAGGGCAGACATACCCAGCGAGGGTAGTTATTTTATGGTCATGTGAAAAGCATGAGGAGAAATGTGTGTTCAGCCTCAAAAGCGAGTCAGACTGATCTCTCCAACAGTGTGAAATGGTTGATGGCACAAGTCACGTTCCAATTAAAGAGCTGCTTGTATCACAAGACACCATTGCAACTGGCAATTTCAGCAGAAGAGCCAACGACACATAACTACCTTATTTCTCTTCAGCTCATGTAGTTTAAGCTGAACATTCCATAGGCACACCTGTGCTGTGGCTGTATAGTGGAATTCAGTTTTCATTTCAGCATTGTTCATACGCATTAAAAATATTTCCACTAAAAAAAAAACAACAACAACAACAGGAAATAGGATCCTTACCATACGATGGTCCAGCACTCCATACTGCAGTGGAGCGTGGTGGTTGTCCTGGCTATACAAGTTCTTACTAACCACCTGAATGTGAGCTTGCTGGCGCATCTCTTCTGGAGATTTCATGCCAAAGCAGATGTGGCTTCTAGCAAAGGGAAAAATTACAAAACTTGATTTTAAAAAAGATACACAAGAAGCCGATCTGAGTTACAATAAAGCCAAAGCAAAATTATACTTCCCTCTCTGGGAAAAAAGCATGAATCTATGTATTAGATTTTTGCATTACAGCTAATAATTATTTAAAAAAACAAAAACAAGAAGTCCGGTGGCACCTTAAAGACCAACAGATTTATTTGGGCATAAGTTTTCGTGAGTAAAAAACCCACTTCTTCAGATGCAACTAAAGGTTATTTAAGGATCATCAGAATATACAGCAGCGGTTCCCAAACTGTGAGGCACCCATAAGATCATTCAGGGGGTCATGATAGGGCCCGGGCCAGCTCTCAGAGGGGCGGGGAAGCAGTGCCAACTCAGCCCTGTTCTGCCCCCTGCTCCGCTCTGGCTCCCGCTCATCCTGTCATGGTTCTGCAACCGCCCCGGCTCCAGGCCCTGCTCCAACCGCAGCCCCAGCCCTGGACTGCAGCTCCTGTGGGGTGGGGGACAGATTCCATTACAGGTGGGGGGGACAGAAAAACTTTGGGGACCACTGCTACAGAGTTTATCACATGGATATACTCCAAATGCAGACACTAAATACTAGCTTTTTCCAGCAGTATTAGTGAAAAGGAATTACCAAGTCCATATAAGGTTAGCTTGCAGGAAACATGGGGGGGGGATTCTAACAGTTAGAAAAGGGAAAGGTTGATTAGATTGAGTCCATCTATTCCATTGCAAAAGCAGCTGAATTCCGCTTCCAAAGAAGGAGGTTTTACATTAAACTGATACTATAGTCAATTTTAGATAAAACCCTTAGCCTTTCCCATTAGCTAACATTATCTGTCACAGAAGGAGTGACAAAAGAAATGTTACGTCAACCAGTGTTTGGTTTCTTTTCTAACTAAAGAAGACCACCTCTATAAACCAGATTAAGTGCAGATACATTATATAAAATAATTTAGAAACCAACATGGTCAACAAGAACCAAAGGGTCAGGAGAGCTGATTTTAACTTTCATGAAGCTGATCCCAATGTCAGACTAGACACGTATACCAATGTACCAACACTGTTAGGTACCCGATATGATCAACTTTTTTTAAAATACAGATATAAAACACAAAAGTTAACGAGATTAACCACGTCTCCATTGTGGGGGCTGGTTTCTTTCAATTATGCATTAATGTTGCTGTATTTCTTAAGCACTGTCAAATGTACTTGGAGCACAAAGACAGGTGCCCTTTAGAGAGCGTCCAGACATAAATCTGTATTTGCAGATTGTATTTGCAGGTGGGCTGACTCCCCTCCGTCACCTAAACACTCCCCCGGAATCGCTGGGGGGGTTGAATCCTTCCATCCCAGCGGGGTCCCCTCCTTGGGTCTGACCCACGTCCCTGGGGCTGAACCCCCTCATTCAGCCTCTCATCCAGCCTCCCCCCCAGCCCCAGGGGCACAGGGCCCCGCTCCTATCTGGGTCTGACCCCAAGGCTAGACACCGCCCCCCAATCCAGCATCCCCTCCAGGGGCACAGGCCCCCGCCACCAACTCTCCCCCTCAGGAGCACAGGGGCCCCCGGCAGCGGGGCTCTCGCCAAGGCCGCACAGCCCCCGCCACTCACATTTTCTTGGCCACGTCGGTCTCCCTGAACTGCTCCTTCACCATGATGGCGGCGGGGCGCGGGGCGCTGCCCGCACGGAGGGGGGAGGGGAGAGGGGAGAGGGGAGCCGGGGCCGCGCCGCACTGCAGAACTCACGGCACCGGCCGCTCAGCGTCCTCCTCCTCGCCCCGCCCACCGCCAGAGCCGCGCGGGGAGCTGGGGACCGGCACATAGCGAGTCGCAGCGCTGCGGCCGCTCCCTGCAGCGACACCTGCTGGCTAAAAGGGGCAGCCCCGCCCAGGCCGCTCGGGGCGGGCTGTGATGGGGTCAACTACTGTAGACCCCGAAACAATCCCCTCACCTCACCTCAATCCCTAGTGCAGCCCAAGGAAAACCCACAGCACCCCTCGCAGTGCAGGCCCCAGAATAATCCCCAACAGCCCCCTACTGCATTCCCCAAGATAATCCTCAACACACCCCTCTAATGTATCCGCATTCCCCAGGATAACTCCCCAAACCCTCTCTAGTGCATCTCCCAGGATAACCCCCAACAACCCCAGTGCTTTCCCCAATAACTTCCGCATCTCCCTCTAGTGCAGCCCCGAGAATAACCCACAACATTGTTGCTCAAATGAAGCACCCCAGAATAACCCCCATCACCTACCGCCAGTGCACTCCTTCCAAATAACTTATTTACCATATATGCTTAGTACAGTCTCTCATAATTCCTCTCTCCCCCTCCCAACTCACATACTTAGTTGCTCTGAGAAGGTCTCATCAATGGTGTTTAAAATGCCACTAATAGCCAATGGTACGCCTACATAATTATATGTAATGGTTAAAGCTAAGATTTTGTCACACATGTTTTTACTAAAAGTCACGGACAGGGCTATAAAGAAAAATTCACAAAAGCCTGTGACCTGTCCGTGACTTTTACTAAAATATGTGTGACAAAATGGGGAGCTGTGGAGTTTCCACAGTGCCCGCAGCAGCTGCGGGGGCCCGGTTTGAAGCTCCAAGGGCCCCCACCACCCGATGGTGGAATAAGTCAGGACATATGGAACAAAACCAATACCCTAGTTTACACAGTGCCTAACTCTTATTGAATGAAGTAATTTTTTCTACAATAATTATTATTTAACTGTGTAAAGGTTTTCAGGTTGTGCAGAAGCTGGATATGTAAACTCAGATTGTATTATCACGTGTCTTTCAGAGAAAAAACAATACTGCAAGGTTCCATCACCTACCTCCCTGTACTTGACAATCTTTTTGGTGTGTGTTTGTACAGTGCTCTGCACGATGGGGTCCTGGTCCATGACTGGGGCTTGTTGGTGCTACCATAATACAATTAAATAAGAAATAACTCATACTTTAATGGGGAATGTATAATATAATGCGGGGGGGGGCGTGGAAACTCCGAGAATTTCCTGTTTATAATCACCACTGCATCCAACATAAATGAATAAATGATTAAGTTTCTTCCCTCTCCAGCCCCCAGGTTGGCAAAGTCCGGCCAAGCAGGATGCCCCAACCGTGTATTTTCAGTCAGGCGCTGGGCTGGTCGCCTCTCTCCTGCACTTTTACTCGGGCTCTGATAGGGCGCCTTCGCGTTCTGCTCCGCCCCCTCACTAAGCCCCCGGGCGCCGGGATATGGTTGGCTGCGGCGGGGTCCTTCTTCCTTTCCTCGCTCCCTTGGAGTAGAGCTAACCGCCGAGATGGTGAGTGTCCGCAGAGCGGCCCGTTTCTATCCGCCTTGCGCCGCTGCCATCCTGCTGCCGCGGGGCTCGCGGGACCCTGTGGCCTCTCCGGGCCCATTGGCTGGGGCGCCTGCGCGGGCATTGGGGAGCCCGGGCGGGAGTCAGGGTAGTGGTGGGGCCTCTTCACCGCGCCCCCTCCCTTCCCCCCCAGGCCTCTGGGATGCGGCTCCCTGAGCTCCCCGGGCAGCGCTGGGCTCTGGCTCCCCGCACTGCTCGGCTCTTTCCGGCGCGGTTGCGGGCTTTCCCCAGCCTGGCCGGCGCGGCGTGTGTGAGTGCGCGTGCGGGGGGGGCGGGAATGTGACAAGCCGCCCGCTAGCAGCTCGGCTGGAGCCGCCCTGGGCTCTGCGCATCGCCCCTGCACGTGCATTCAGTCCCATTTCGCCTTCCGCTGCGGCTCTGCCCCAAACCCAGCGCTTCCCGGGGGCTGGAACTGGGCACAATTACAGCGGCCGGGTGTGCTCAGGCAAGTGATGGTTTCCCTTTGCACCCTAGCATACGAGTTAGTAGCCAGCTTCTGCTGCCGAGGCATGTTCGTCCACAGGCTTCACGCCAAGTGTTGCCGTGTAACTGGTGGATGCACTTTCCTTTCATATTTAGGGATTGTATTCGCTTTACACACGAGGTTTAAATTAGACTTTGGTACAAAAAAATCTTGATTTACAGGTGGGTCAAATCTGAACTGGTCATGTTACAAACATGACTTGCATCCCAGTTAGTGCCCCATAACCCAGGTCCAGTTTCCCATTTTTTGACAAATAATATTGCATATTGGTGGATGCTCAGCGTTGGACAGCGAGTGGACATAATATCTATGAGAGTAAGGAGGAGACATTTATGGTGGGGTGAGATTGAGGCAAATTGCCTGGTGACCAATTTTGAGCAGCCAGACACCAGGGCAATTAGAAGAGCACACGGAGGTGCACTGTGCATCAGAGAGGCTTTGAAAAACAGTTTCATGATTGACCAGGCCATGGTGTGACAGTTGTGTGTGTTTGTCCTTGATGCAAAGCTTCCCCCTTTGGTGAATGTACTTCCGTGTAAACCAATCCCCACCTCCCACTTTTGACCACAGCTGTAACAGGAAATAAAGTCCCTATTGTTCTGAATCCATTCATTCTTTATTTATATAAAAAAACCTTCTATTCTGTGGGCTGCAAACTGCATGAATTCCATAACTATTATCATGACAGTTTTTTTTCTTCCTCCTTGGAATAGCTCTCCTAGCACAGGTTTGGGTTGTATTGTAGCAGCATCTTGCCATGAGTTTCAGACCAGGTTTTTAATCAGTTTTTGCAAACCAGCTGATGAGTTATTTGAGGAATTGTGTAGATGGTGTGAAAGCTCATGGAAGAACTTAAATGCATATTAATTGTTTTTCTGAATTATCTTATAGAATGACACGGTGACCATCAGAACCAGGAAGTTCATGACTAATAGACTGCTTCAGCGTAAGCAGATGGTAAGATATATTGGGTACTACCTTGGTTTTCTGTATCTGCTTATGTTGGGTTATGTGTTTTATATTACTGTATTTTTAATTTTTAAAGCTTGTAACTTTTACTCTTTAGAATGACCCTAGCTAAAAGACTTCTAGATACTGCTTCCTAGTGGGTAGGCTGTCTATGGTTGCCATTTAAATTAATTTGTTGTAATGATTTGCTAGACCATTAGATGTGCACGAAGATTCTAGTTAGGGAATAGGACGTAAGTATTCTCTGTGATCCTTGTTAAAACTTGAAAATACTAAACTGCCCACTAATTGCTTTGCTTTACTTTACTTCTGAAGATGTAGCCAAAGCTACTGTGAGTGATATGGGGAGAATAATAGGGGCGGAGAGCTTATGAGAACTCTTCAATGATAGTAGCTTTAACTTGATCTTTGACTCTTTAATTTTTGCTTGAGTCTCTGTATAGTGAGATGTACATCAAATAAGAACTGCTGGCCTCCGTTGTTGCTGTGATGTGTGTTAATTTAGATGCCAAGTGTGGCTAGTGATATTTTCTTTATTAGCTGTTATAAGGCTGTTTAGATATCATCGTTATGTATGGAATATCTTTATACTATTATAAAGTACGGATATTTCTAACGGGAAAAACTTGCATCTGTAGGTCATTGATGTTCTTCATCCTGGAAAGGCCACAGTTCCCAAAACTGAAATCAGGGAAAAGCTGGCAAAAATGTACAAAACAACGCCAGATGTAATTTTCGTCTTTGGCTTCAGAACCCATTTTGGTGGTGGCAAGACAACAGGCTTTGGCATGATTTATGATTCCCTGGACTATGCAAAGAAGAATGAACCAAAGCACAGACTGGCCAGGGTAAGTTTCTTGCTTGCAGTTTTTACAGTGCTAAGAAGGTTGCTGTTTGTTCTAAAAGGCATCTTGCATATAGTTAGGGTCCAAAACTTAAAACATTGCAGCAAAGTTAAACTATTGGTGCAAAAATGAGATCTATAAATAGAAATCCCTTCTCTATATTCATGAATTTACAGCGTGGAAACAAGCTTTTTGTTGTAATGCAGATGAAGGAGGATGAAATGATTTATGATCAGCTGTGGGTTTTAGCAGTACAATGTAATGGTTAATGGAAGGGGCACAAGATCATGGGATGAGCATGCGTAGTATATATGTTCTTAAAAATATACTCCACTTCCTCTCTACACTTTCAGCACATAAAGTTGCCTCACTTGTATATTAGCGGTTGCCTACAGAACTTTTAAATAACTTTTTAGGGCTTACATTAGTAATTATACTTTTAGTTATTAAAGCATTTGAAATATTTAATATAGAAACACTTTTTAGATATTGAGTTCACTTTAATAATTGTGGGCATAATTCTCTTACTACTAGCATGGCTTGTATGAAAAGAAGAAGACTTCGAGAAAACAGCGGAAGGAGCGTAAGAACAGAATGAAGAAAGTCAGGGGCACAGCCAAGGCAAACGTTGGTGCTGGCAAGAAGGTATGATGGAAACCTGCAGGCTAGAGCATAGATGCTGGATTTTAGTTTCTTTGCTAGACAGTTTTCTTCCTCAACAAAATAATATTTTCTTTAATTTTTTTACCTTTCCTACTGGATAACAGAAGTTAACTTATGAGGTCCTGTGTAGTTTTAACTCAGTAGTTTACAGTAGAACCTCAGTGTTACAAACTGACCAGTCAACCACACGCATCGTTTTGAACTAGAAGTATGAAATCGGGCAGGAACAGAGACCAAAAAACCCCCACACCAAATACTGTGTTAAACATGAAGTACTTAAAAAAAGGAAAGCGCAGGTTTTTTTCTTCTGCATAGTAAAGTTTCAATACTGCATTAAATCAATGTTCAGTTACAAGCTTTTGGAAGAACAGCCCTAATGTTTTGTTTAGAGTTATGAACATTTCAGAGTAATGAACAGCCTCCGTTCCCAAGATGTTTGTAACTCTGAGTTTCTAATGTAGTTTTGCTCTCCTGGTTGCTGTTTGGTAGGTAGCTTAATGTGAAGATTTAAGTGGTATGTATTCTGTTTCTTTTTTAAGTCTTGTAAAAACTGTACTTTGTTCCCATCAACGTATGGATACCTCACTTGAATTACTAGATAAATCCGATGATGGACAATAAAACTTTAAGTTCTCCCCGGACTTGAGTTTTGTTCATTAGATTCCCCCCAACATGATAGAGAACTCCAGCCAGCCTGGTGGGCTGCTGGTATTGTAGTATGCTCCCTCCCACAAAGGAACTTTAGAGTTAGGAGTCATGTGTTTGAGGCAGTGCCCTCCACCTCTGCAGGCTATGGGGAGGTAGGATGTTTATCTGGCACTGCTGGTCTCTTCTACCTAGTCAGTTACTGATGCTCAACTTCTGGTGGGAGCTGTGTCAATCCCTCAGAGGGGAGGGCAAGCCATCCTGATGTGAAGGTTGGAGGGGGTCTTGGGATGTTCTCAAGCAGAATGAAAAACTGAGGTACAGTGTAGAAATGAAAGCTTAAAGACAGATCAGTGGTACTCAAGGGATTTGAGAGGTGCAAAATATACTAAGCATACTTAAAAACAGTAAAATCTGATTTTTGCACTGTTTTGGAGGTAGAGTGAAGGTGGTGGGTAATAGAAAAAGCTGATTTTTCTGGTAAATAGTTGTAGTTGCTAAAATGCTATAAATAACCAAATATCCTTTCTTGAATCTCTTAGTAACCTTTCTTTACTTTAACCTTTCTTTCTTTCTTGGAATTCTTCAACAGAAGTGAAGTGACTAGCAGGTACTGAGTGAGCATGGATGTGGTGGTGGCTGTATGAATTATGCATCACTTACATGCTTGAGACGTGTTTAATAGAAACACCTTGTGTATTGCTTTGCATGCCTGTGCTCTCACTTTGAACCTGAATTCATTTCTGCCCTTCAGTAGATAGTATTCTGCTACAGTCCAAATACTGCTACAGAAACAGAGGGTGGCTAACTTAAAACTGGTGCAGAAGTGAAATCTGGTTTTCTGACGCTGCTCATCCAAATACACCCAGTGGATCTTGACAAGCTCTTGTGCATATTGTTATGAAATACCAATAAATGGGGTGAAGGATAATGCCTCAACAGTATGTATTGAGGCATGAAGAGAGAAACATTGGCCCAGTTTTTTTAAAAACTGCATACAACGAACCCTTGCTAGAACGCGCGTCTATAGAGCACAAATTCGCATATAATGCGGTCATGGCCATGGATCCCCAATTTAATTATTTTAATTACAATTCATTTTAACATGGTATTGCGTATGGATACCAAATCCTGTGTTCTAGCAAGGGTCCGGTGTATTGATTAAAAAAATACAGCTGCATGTGTAACTTGTGCTTACCACAAATGCACCATGCTTTTCTGGATTTAAGCCATTCTTTTTGTTTAAACACTGTAATATGCTGGTTAATAAAGATGAAGCCCTGCAAATATTAACTGCATAATAGTAAAGATGAAGGCAATTTAACAAGAGCTCTTAGTGGTTTGTAGTTTGAAAGCATGTCTTTAACCAACAGAAGTTGGTCCAATAAGATATTACTTCACCACTTTGTGTGCAAACTTAGTTTCAAGGGCGGAATGAATTGAATCTGCAAGCTTAATCAGTGTATTTGTTGTATACTCATTGATCAAATTTGCTGACTAAATTCATTCCCTGCAAGCTCTGTGAAAGTCTCTACTTTGCCATTTACCCTCATGAGTTTCCTCAAAACCCCCAAACCTCATGATTTACACAGGGCCCTACTTATAATGCATCTCAGTCTAGGTAGGACAAGTAGAGGATAAAATAGTTTAATGCTACTCTTTTGACAGATATGCTACCTGTCTGAATAGTTCTGTGATGTGGTGTATAATCCTTGAAATGAAGTAATTGTTCTCTTGACTGATTTTATTCTCCTTTGAGGTTGACCAGTGTTAAAAATTGGCTAGGGGGCATCATTTAACCGCAGTGATCAACCTTATTCATAGAATATCAGGGTTGGAAGGGACCTCAAGAGGGCCATCTAGTCCAACCTCCTGCTCAAAGCAGGACCAATCCCCAATTTTTGCCCCAGATCCCTAAATGGCCCCCTTAAGGATTGAACTCAGAACCCTGGGTTTAGCAGGCCAATGCTCAAAACCACTAAGCTATACAGGAGGGCCACACAAACCTAAGCACCGCCTTGTGAGGGCCAAACAGGTTAGGTACAGTATTTCCTAGTTAAAAACCAAGAGATTAGTGCATAAAATCTATGTCAGAATGATAGAAAATGGGGGAAAAAAGTAAAGAACACATCATTAAATTAAGAATATATAAACATGATGGCAAAATGCTAATGAATCTGCCTTTAGTATATAGTGTTGAAGCAGGCCCTGGGCCTTACAGAATGCTCTAGTGGGCCGTAGGTTGGGCACCCCTGACTTAAAGGATCTAGGTCTGACTAATTTAACAGCCTAGTCCACATGGATTAGTCTTTCTAACTTATAAAACACGTGGCCAATTTTTATTAATATGGTGTCTCTAGAGGCCATGATCAAGGCCCCACGGTGGTTACGCATACACTCTACTCCAAATAATGTAATGACTTCTCAATTAAGGGATCGGTTTGAAGTGTACTATATTACTTAAAGTTTACATAATTTAAATAGATGGGGGCCCCATCTGGCCCTTCAGACGTTTTAAGCTGGCCCTAGAGCTCCTGCTGGGGAGCAGGGTCCAAGACTTGCCCTGCTTCCACGCATGCCATGGCTCTGCATGGCTCCCAAAGCAGTGGCATGTCCCACCTCCAGCTCCTATGCGTAGGGGGGGCTAAGGGGCACTGCATGCTGCCCCTGCCCCAAGCACTCCCCCCACAGCTCCCATTGGCCAGGAACTGCGCGCCAATGGGAGCTGCAGGGGAGGTGCCTAAGGATGGGGCAGTGTGCAAAACAGCCTGGCTGTGCCTCCATGTAGGAGCTGGGGGAGGGGGGAACATGCCACTGCTACCGGGAGTTACTTGAGGTAAGCGCTGCCTGGAGCCTGCACTCCTGACCTCCTGTCCTAGCCCTGATCCCCCTCCTGCCCTCTGAGCTCTTCAGTCTCAGCCCAGAACACCCTCCTGCATCCCAAACCCCGCATCCCAACCCCAGAGCCCATACCCTCAGCTGGAGCCTTTAAACCCCCCTGTCCCAGTCCGGAGCCCCCTCCCACACCCTGAACTCCCAATTTCGTGAGCATTCATGGCCTGCCATACAATTTCCATACCCAGATGTGGCCCTCGGGCCAAAAAGTTTGCCCACCCCTGAAATAGACAGACATAAATCTTTTAAATTAACTCCTAGAAAAACTGAAGTGTTGTGATATTTCTGTATAACTTCTTTTGAGGAGGCTTATGGATGAAGGAATAACAAGAAATGAAGCATTGGGTAGAGAAGTAGATGTCCACATCTTCATTTGGCTGCAGAGTTCTTAGGAGGAACAAAAAGCAGAGCGGAGTAATCACTGTAATTGAAACATTAATTACTATAGGTGCATTGGTAACTAAAGGAAACTCTATTTCTGAGTAAGTCTCGTCACTTGTAATAGTCTTAACTTGCATGGAAATAGAGTTGTTGCTAAATCCGTTCTTTGCCTTTGTATATACTTTACATTTCCATTTTGAAAATGCATGTCTGAAGTGTGTGAAGTATATCTGAAATATACTATATATGAAGTAAATCATATACACATTGAATTACTTTCGTTAGCCCTTCTTGTTGTGAACGTAAGGTTCACACCATACCACTTTCTCTCACTTTTGGTTGTTTGAATTGGGGCGTCTGTTTTTTTGGGCTATACCTTTATACATCCATTGTAAGGCCTTGTTTACACTGGGAAATAGTCTAGGTTTCAGACTTTGGTGATCGGACACTGGTGTGGCTGCACGAGGGAAAACTGCTATTTGCAGATATGGAGTTTACCCCTTGAAAATGGGGTAAGTTGCATCCACTATTGTAAACTTACAGCTGATCCTGTTGGCTCTGGTGCATCTATATGTGGATGGCAACTGTTGCCTGGAGTTAGGGGAAGGCTGTGCCATCTTCACTTCAAGTCTTTCAGACCATGTCTATACTTACTGCTATAAGCTTGTACAGCTGTACCAATACAGCTGTGCTACTGTAAGATCGCTCGTGTAGCCGTGTTATGCTGATGGGAGAGAGCTCTCCTGTTGACTTCATAAAATCAGCTAAACAAGTGGCGGTAGCTGTGTTGGTGGGAAAGCATCTCCTGCCAACATTGCTTGTGTACACACAAGCAATTATGCTGCTAAAACTTACGTTACTCAAGGGTGTGAAAAAAGTTTTGCTGACATAAGTGCTAATGTAGACATGGCCTTACTCTTGTTTCTACGTGACTAAGGCAGAAAGCTAAGTAACTGACAACGTAGCCTGCTTTCCCTTGATGGTCATTTAACTCCTCACTTTTCGTGTCTTGACAGTTGTACACATAACCTCTGAACATCTAAAATCTTAATAGCAATGTGCCTTTCCTTGCATTGTCACATGACTATTTTTACTGCTCCTTACGGCACATAAATCTACCCCATCTCTGGGTACCAAAAAGGTACCCTTATAGTTAAACTGCATTAACCACTCTCTTGTATCTGATTTGAGTGCTTTTTTTACATTGACAGCTTTCATTATGTTTAAAGATATTAGCTTGATTTTCATAACATATGTAAATTAGCACTCACATTCAAGCACATGAATGGCCTAACTAGCCATCTGTGTGGAAATACTCAGTTTATAATTGTGAAAATTGGTCCCCTGATGTTTGTAACTAATAAAGTGCAGAAGACTCTGGTAAGAAGCCTTATCACCCTGCCTCATCACACCTTTGACTATTTTTTAAGGAGTTGGCATTCAGCCGTAACTCTCCTTTCCCCCTCCAAGAAATTTGTCCCACTCTTTTGCAGCCACTATCCTTCTGCAGAACCCTCCAAGATCCATTTCTTCTATTACAATTTTGAAAGTCTTTTATGATATTCCTTTTTCTTACACACTCCACCTTTTATTTCTGTTACTTGTATTCTTATTAGCTGTCCATGATAGGAGCTGCTTTTATATATGGACAGCACCTAGCATATTGTTTGCTATTGGAATAAATAAATATTAAACGTTATTTGGGCCGTGGCAATACACAAGTCTTGTAAGTCCTTTATATGTGGCACTCTAGTTGACTGCAGTAGCTCTGAATGTGGAGGGCTTGCAGGATCATGGTTTTAAGCCTGCCGTAACCTTATTTTGCTATACCTAATCCTACCAGGTATGTAAACCCTGGTGTTTGCTTTTAAGTGCAGATGCACTCAAGAAATAAAGCATGTAAAAATGGACACTTTAGTTACCTCCTTTCCCCTTTGATTGTTTGTATTCAAAGTTATATCTGATTGTATCTTTGACAAGTTTGGCTTTGATTAGCTATATGGGCTTTTTAGGAAAGTTACTGAAAATAAGCATGAAACCCAACAGTGCCATTAGCACTCACACTCACACCAAACAGGTTGGATTTTCTAGGGTAACATGACTATGTGTAATAATGACTGTAATTTGTGGGTGGTGTTTTTGTTTTTTCTTAAGCATTTACTGACTTTCTGTTTTCTTGTTTCAGTGAGCTGGCAAATGGAAATAACAGGTATAACTTCTTAAATGTTTGGCGTTCTGCTATGCTGGTGATTTGGCTTTTCTCTAAGAATTAATCTTAATGAAATGACTTTAACATTTTATCGTGCTGTGGCCTTATGTTCAAAGTCAGGACAAGTAAGTTTTAACACAGTTTTTTTTAATTTTAAGGGAACACTCTGTTTTTGCATATGGTATCAACTGCCAGTTTTTGTGGACATGTTCCCTGTGGCCTCACCCACACCTCCGCTGTGTGGAAGACCCAAATAACAAGGAAATCATGTAACTTACCATAAACAAAGACTCTAATGCTTAGAGTAACACTGAAAATGTAGATTTCTTTTAATCTCTCATAATAGAAAAATTGTGACTTCTCAAAAATTGTCCTTTACATTTCATTAATAACTAATATAATGGGATGAGTGTTTTTACTACTGCTTAAATGACAAAAATATTTATCAGAATGTATCTCAAATTACAAAGCAGTATGTTTGTTTCACTGATAGAAGTTACAATTATAAAGCAGTCAATTTCTATCTTAATACCAGCAAGAAGTCTCTCAAGTGGACTGATGAGACTTAACTAAAAGGCCATCAAACATACTTTAAGTCCTGCTGTTTGTTCTCATTTCAGTACCAAGGCTACTTAAATGAATGTGCTTTGTTGTGGTAGCTGGTGCCGAGCAAACCCAACCCTCTGCTATAGCTACTGGAGCAACTTTTTAAAAGCAGCCTGAGCAGTATGTATTTAAAACAAAGCAGAATTTAACTAAAACAAGACATCTGCTATCCTTGGTCTTTATACGGCTTGAATATTCTGATAATCTTACTTAGCTGGCTAACAAAGCAGTTGCTTCTCATCTTACGGTTTAATAATTGTTCATAGCATTTCTAAAGAATAGTGTCTGAAGCCCTGATCTTGCTGTGGCCTTTTTCTGCACAGGACTAATTGTTACTTTTCTAAAGGCCCTTATCCTGCAATGTAAAATAAGCTGACTACATTCCATTGCAAAGATATTACAGGGCTGACTTTTTTCCACCCTCCTTTTACAGAGACTAAATTATCCTGCAAAGGTAACAAGAAGATGATGATGATGGTCTATCAGAAGCTTGTCAAATAAACTATATAAACTGAAATGCTTTGTTCTTTCTTCTTCCCCCCCCCAGGTTTAAATGTACAATAAAGATTTTATAAACTGAATTTGAAAGATCCAGAATTGTTCAGATCAGGTGCATTGTTTACACTGCATTAATAACCCTTTTGGTATAAGCATTGTTTCAGCATCTCAGTATTTTTACTTCAAGACAGTCACATCCAAATATTTTATTGATTCATAAACAGTAGGAACTAGATCAACATGCTTAATGAAGTGGTCTTTTATACTTCAAATGTTTTGAAAGCTGGTCTTTTGACAGCTGTGAAACTTACCAAGCTCTCTTTTCAGGTGTTTGATAAGTGGTAAAACTTAATTCCTGGGCTAGAACTTTGCAAGCAAGATTAATCTACTAGCCAGTTGCTGGCCTTTATTAATAGGTGTTTAAGTATTCTTTTGTTTATACTCAGGTCCGAGTTTAATGTGTTTGCATAAATGTATAGATCACTGTATTGACATATAATGACCTATTCTTGCCTCTCATGGAAGTCAGCCATATTTTTAGACTTACCTGTCAAGCAGACTAGAAGTGTGCGAGAGTGCGGGCTATCAATCGGGTCAGATCCAGCTTTTATCAAAACCTTATCCAGACTGTCTTGTAGCTCCTGTATTAATACATAATGAACTTTGAAAATTCAACACTTGAGTATCTATCCCAAGAAAGCTGAGGAACAAACGTTGCTGCAGAGAAGACACTTCACTATTTGGAGGGGCTTGAAGAATATTGCAGTAACCCCACTGAGCTCAGACAATATGTACATTGGAATAAAAGCATAAAATTGGGTTCTAGTGTGTAGGAAGAGGTGGCTGTTAAAGGCTAAGTAAAATCTAGAAAGTAAGCAAACGTTTAGGTTAAATTTTGATACATCTCTTTTTGGTAATTGCACTTAGGTGGTGACTGGCTCTCCTGTGCCAAGCATGTTTAGGGCTGATCAAAAGTTGGACTAGGGTTTTCCAAGGAAAACATGAATGCTAAAGTTAGTTGGAAGATGGTACTCTTTTTTTTCTTCTCCCTCACCCACCAGTCCACAGTAGAGAACAAGACCCCTGGTTTGGGGAAACGAGTGAAAGAACACTTGGAACAAAATTTCCTACAACTTGTAGCGTGGAAAAAGGGTCTGTTTTCATGCTCGCAAGTCTAACCCATATGCTCCCAACTTGCTCTTAAACTTCAATTGCATAGTGAAATAGTCCTACATAGGCTGAGGATGGAGAATGGGAGTAGTCTCCCCAAAGTAGCTGCATGTTAGCAAAATTTCTCTTCTGCTAGCCTGAATTCTGTCTGTAGATACAGTGAGATGTATTCATCCAGCTAGCATTCCTCTGAAGGCTTGGGGTGCGCTGTCACTGCCTTCTCATGCTCCAAAGGTGGGTGAATTTTATTGAGTACAGCAAGTTCCGTGCAGTGAAGTTTAGAAGCTTTGGGTTTCCCCGGAAAAATGAAGTCTTGTTTTCAGTATATTTTGGTAATGATGAAAAATACTCTTCTGTTTAAAAATGCGTCTTGACCTGGTAATACAGAATACATTACTACACTAGCTGGCACCATTTATTTAATCCAGGGTAACTCCTCTCTGGCTGTTTTTAAAAGAGCTAAATCTATTCATTTCTGAGAACTGGTCATGAAACACTTAAAGCTGCTGCTGGTAGTACGCATCACTTTCTCCACACTGATTGGGATTGCTGTCTCAATGTGGCCATGTCTCTTAAACAGGACTTCATGCTTTTCTGCAATAGCTCCAGCCCATGCGCTTCATTCAGAGCAAGACAAAAAAAGCTTTATTCTTTGAAAGGCTAGAGATGAAATTTTAAACCCATGTTCCATTCACTATAAGTGTAAGTCAAGCCTAATATTAAATAGTTGTCTTTAAAATCTCTTGCCAGTGCTTTCAAATGGAAAAGCTGATGACTTTACATATTGAAAACACTGCTTTCTGTTCTGTTAGTGCTGCTAATAGTCTTTAGTGTGATTTATTAAAATATTGTAGCTGGCTTTTTTTAAAAGGGTCCACTATTGCTTAAAACCTTTGAATGTGAGGGTTATGATTCATTTGGTTCCCTCTCTTCTTCCCCTCCCCCGAAAAACTTGTCATTCTTCAGAAACATTGATAAATATCCCACCTATAATTATTTGAAAAACCTCTGTATGCTTGATGCCATCTGCACTGACTGCTGCTGTGTAGATTTTGGATGAGGGTGAAGGAATGTCACTAAACTAGTTTATGTATCAACAGGAGGTGGGCAGCTTCAGTTAGTGGCTATGGGGTGGGTTGGTTTTTTGGGGCACTATTTTGCTGAAGTCACAGGGACCCTTTGTGCCTCAGTTTCCCCAATTATAAAATAGGGCTTATATGGGCTTTTCTTTATAAAGTACCTTATAAATGTCAGTTTTTCACTTGTAGAGTGCAAAGGAGCAGTAGTCCCATTTTAAAAAGCCATACCCACTACTGTGACTACTGGGGAAGTTTAGCTATAAATGCAAATAGAGCTGCTCTCCCTCAGTTTCCAGTGCTGTGACCTAAGATTCTAGGTCCCAATATCTTTAAAGTTTGGATCCAGATTCATTTCTAAGGGCTTGTTTCCAGATGCAATTCGAAGAGTTTTCAAGGTAATGATGTCCGAGGCTGCACCATGATCTCCTGTATTTGTCAGCTGACCTCAAATTTGGAGGGGTCTGACAATTTGTCTGGTTTAAATTGAAGGTGACAGGAGGTGGGGCTTTCTGGGGGGAGATTGACTCCCCCTGTACCTGCATTCTAGAATAACTTGATTAACTCCAGGGGTGGATGCTTGTCCCTGGAATAAGGCCCTCATTCTTCTTGCATGGAGTTAATTGTGAATAGCTATTTGGAAATAGTGCTTGCCTACAGCAGGAGTTAAGATACTTAGGTACAGACTTTCAGACTTCATTTGAGTGCTGAGCGTGTGCGCAGTACGCTGTCCAAATGGAGGTGAAGGCCCTGGCCTTACAGTGTTAAAATCTTGCCGTCTACTACCTAGAATATTAGAATTCAAACACAATGCTATATCCCCGGGTGCTGGGTGACCAGAGGATAGCAGCATCCTCCTGTTTGTTAACTTCTGAAGATTTCTCTAAACCGTCTTAACTGAACACTGCCTAATACATAAAAGTAGCACTGTGTGGTTTCCTATTCAGTGTCTCAGTGACTTCCCTGTCAAATGTACTCAGTTTACATGTAAAGCTTTTTTTTTTTTTAACTACCAGTTCTGTAAATTAATGTTGGGGTCCTTGTCAGATTTTTAGGCTCAGGTTCCCAGTTGATCTGAGTTCTTAATTTCCTTGGATTTCAGGCAAAGCTGGGTGCCCAAACACTTCTGTGGAGCTGGGCCTTGTGCTTATCAGCCTCATTGGAAATAAGTAGTAATGCTTTTGTAGTATAAATTAGTTGTATTATCATTCTCTTTTATTCTCTTTGCTACCACCTGTTAAAAAGCCCTTGCCAGCAGGGATAACTGATACTAAACTATGCTGATGCAATGGAGTCTGCAGCAGAGAGAGAGTGAGTGACCCTCTCTACAGGTAGGGTGACCAGATGTCCTGATTTTATAGGGACAGGCCTGATTTTTGGGTCAGTCTTATATAGGCTTCTATTTCTTCTTTCTCCCCTCCTCCCCAAAATCCTGATTTTTCACATTTGATGTCTGGTCACCCTACCTATCAGGCTAAGGTGAGTGGAAAACAGGGAAGCCTTTTTTTTTTTTTTTAAAAAGCTGAGTGCACATCAAAGTAAGATGCCATTTTTACTTGGGCACCCCTGCCTAGGTAGGTACACAGAAAAGGGTTGTTTAAAAAAAAAAATGTTTGCTTTAGGCTCATTTATAATATCACACACTAATATAAATGCTGTTAATAAGAAATAAAGCCATTAAGATAATATGAAAAAAATCTATGTAATTGAAGTTAGTGGGCGTTGCCTTTAATCAATCAGTCTGGATGCCTTTTTTTCTATTTCACTGCTTGTCTAAGAATGAACTATTGAATGATGGATGCATCTCACCTGTTAAGCTGTATCCCCTTGTAGGAGACCTCCTGTGTGAGTATTAAGAATGCCCTACCTCAAGCCGTTGCAAACTTCTGTGAGAGAACCTCTTAAGGAAAGAGGAATGAGCAGGATATGAGGGAGAGGAAAGTTTCATGAGTAGCAATGAAGGAAACATGGATCCATGTGGATGTGGGAGCTACCTCTGTGCCATAAAAGGTGTGGGATTTGCTGTGGGAATGGTATTACATACACATTTAATTAATTTCCTAGCCCTAGTGAATTTTGTAAGATGAAATATCGGAGAGCAAAGGAATGTAAAGGAGCCTTACCCAAAGCTTGTTCCAGTCATGGAATTACACCCATTAACTTCATTAGGCTTGGATTGGATATTATATTATGTATTGTAAAAGCTGTAAGGCTCCCTTCCTAAGCCTCCTCCCCTGGCCTCTTGTTTAGCAATATGAAGCAAAGAGGAGCCTTCCTATCAAATACATTAGAACCATCACGAGAAGGTAGTGTGAACACAGCAATACAAATACCTGAAAAGTTTCCTTAAAACAAAAACCTAAGAGAAGCTACATCTGCTGAACAGAAGAGTGCAAACTCTTCATAGAAGCTTTATAGAAGTAAAGGAGAAGGCAGTAGTTGTGGGTGAGGGGTAATAAATCAGCAATCAGCCTTAACCGTGTTTCAAGAGAAGTATATAAAAAATGAAATGTACTAAGCAGTCCAAATAGTTAGACACCACTAGAGCACGGATGTAAATCTATATTGCTTATCCTGTTCTGACTCCTCCTTTGTCTCCTTACTTTAGCTGTAAGAAAAAGAAAAAAAGCTTTTTGATAAAGGTGATTGTACAATTATTAACAAAAAAACAAAACCCTTTTGCAGTAGTGTAGCTGTCATCGTGGCAAAAATTCTCCTGTGACTTTTCTAGAAGAACAGAAGTTGCAGAAGGAATACCTCTATAGTTCACAGC